GCTTCATTACCTCCAGTAGTTCTCTTACTTCTCTATTAGGTTTCTGTCTGATTGACCTGTCCATTGCTGAGAGAGGTGTATTGAAGTCTCCTACTACTAGTGTGTGTGGTTTGATGTCTGCCTTGAGTTTTAGTAATATTTCTTTTTTTTTTTTTTTTTTTGGTTTTTTCGAGACATTGTTTCTCTGTGGCTTTTTGGAGCCTGTCCTGCAACTAGCTCTGTAGACCAGGCTGGTCTCGAACTCACAGAGATCTGCCTGCCTCTGCCTCCCGAGTGCTGGGATTAAAGGCGTGTGCCACCACTGCCCGGCCTAGTAATATTTCTTTTACATACGTGGGTGCTTTTATATTAGGGGCGTAAATATTCAGGATTGAGACGTCATCCTGACAAATTGTTCCTGTTATGAGTATAAAGTGTCCATCTCGATCTCTTCTGATTGATTTTAGTTTGAAGTCAGTTTTGTTAGAAATTAATATGGCCACACCTGCTTTTTTCTTAGGACCATTTGCTTGAAACACCTTTTCCCAACCCTTTACTCTGAGTAGATGCCTGTCTTTGTGGTTGAGATGTGTTTCTTGCAAACAACAGAATGTTGGATCCTGTTTTCGTATCCAATCTCTTAGCCTGTGCCTTTTTATAGGTGAGTTGAGACCATTAATATTAAGTGATATTAATGACCAGTGGTTGTTTATGCCGGATATTCTTATTGTTTTTGGAAGTAGAATTTGTGTGTCTCCCTTCTTTGAGTTGTACTAGTGAAGGGTCGCTAGATGCCCGAGTTATTGTAGGCAGTGTTGGAAATGTTGGATTCCTTGGGTTGCAGTTTTCCTTCTATTACTTTCTGTAGGGCTGGGTTCGTGGCTACGTATTGTTTAAATTTGTTCTTATCCTGGAATGCCTTGATTTCTCCATTTATAGTGAACAAAAGCTTGGCTGGGTATAGTAGTCTGGGCTTGCCTCCATGGTCTCTTAGCTTCTGCAGTACTTCTATCCAGGACCTTCTGGCTTTCATTGTTTCCATAGAGAAATCAGGTGTAAGTCTGATCGGTTTACCTTTATAAGTTACTTGGCCTTTTTCCTTTGCAGCTCTTAGTATTCTTTCTTTAATCTGTATATTTTGTGTTTTGATTATTATATGGCGAGGGGATGTTTTCCTTTGATCCAGTCTGTTTGGTGTTCTGTATGCTTCTTGAATATTCAAAGGAATATCTTTATGTTGGGAAAGTTTTCTTCCATAAGTTTGATCAAAATATTTTCTGGGCCTTTGAGCTGTGACTCTTCTCCTTCTTCTATTCCTATTATTCTTAGATTTGGTCTTTTTATTGTGTCCCATAATTCCTGAATGTTTTGTGATGAGAATTTGTTGGCTTTGCAGTTTTCTTTGATCAGAGCGTTTATTTTCTCTATGGTGTCCTCAGAATCTGAGATTCTTTCTTCTATTTCTTGTATTCTATTGATTATGCTTGTTTCTGTAGTCTCTGCTCGTTGACCTAGATTTTCCATATCCAACTGGTCCTCAGTTTGTGTTTTCTTCCTTGCTTCCATTTCAGTTTTCAATTCTTGAACTGTTTCCATTACCTGTTTGATCGTTCTTTCTTGGTTTCCCAGGGTATTATGTACGTATTTACTCATTTCTTCAAATTTTTGGTTATACTTCTCATCCATTTCTATAATGTCATTTTTCACATGTTTAAGGGATTCTATTGCTTTCATAAAGTCAATTTTTTCCACTTCTTCTGTGTTAGGGTGTTGGACACCTTCTGTTGTAAGATCATTGGGTTCTGGTGTTTTCATGTTGTTTTTCAGATTATTGGGTGAATTCTTTCCTTGGCGCCTGCCCATCTCCTCCTATCGATGCTATCTAAGGGGTCTGTTAAAACTGGTTCAGGTTTCCCTGCTGGCCAGGGTCTCCTCTTACAAAATGCCCTTGCTCTGTTTCCTGGTTCCTGCGGGGGGGGGGGGGGGGGGGGGGGGCGCAAGATCCCTCTCACCCCTCAGAAAGGTCTTCAGGAATAGGACCCGGCTCCTCCTTTGCCAGGGACCTCCCCAACCGAAGGCCTACTTCTTTGGTTTAATTGTAGTGGGGCGATCTGTTCTCGGTGTTGCGCGGTCCCTGCTGCCTGCTTCTGCTGCTGGGATGGTTCCCGCCGCCAGCAGCCTGTGTCCTCTGCTGCCGCTCCGGTCCCAGCCAGTTCCAGCCTGTCCCAGTCGGTCCCGCCGGCTGCGCTGGGCGTCCTCCGGCCGCCTTCCGCTGCCCGGTGTTCCAGCCGCCTTCCGCCGCCCGGTGTTCCGGCCGCCGACTTTCAGCATTTTAAATCATCAAGAATGTTGTTCCTTTTCTCCCTAATTTATAATGCTCTTTATGCAGGACCTGTAAATTTCTTATTAAATTTGTTCCTGTATAGTTCCAATTTTTTTAGCACTACTATTCTGTTTTTTTTTTCCTAGCTAGAGAAAAACTATATATTTACATTTTTACCTAGCCATTTTACCAATTCTCTATTCCCAGTAATCCTCTTTTAACTTCTTTTCAGTAGTGCAATAAGGCTTTCAAGACACACAGGTCATTTTCTAAGTGGCCTGAGGTGACCTGTGAAGATGGTTTGCTATTCTCTTGACCCAGAAAACCTACAAAATCATGTAAATCAAGAGATCCAAATCTTTGTGTCCATGTTAAGGACCCCTGTGAAACCGCCCAAGCCTTCAAGGATATGCATATCCGAAAGCCACCTAATATCTGAATGATGTCACTTTAAAGAGGCCATGTGCGCCCTTCCGGTGTGGGGCATTGGTAGGTGCGCCCAAGCCAGACAGTGGGGAGGGACACGGGGTCAGGGGCCAAAAAATGAGTGCAGAGAGCAATGCTGAACTGAGGGGCTTAGATGAAGACTCTCTGGTCATTGAGCACATCCAGGTGAGGAAAGCACCTACGATGTACTGATGAATATACAGAGCTCACGGCCAGATTAACCCACCCCTGAGCTCCCCGGCCACCCTTAGGTGGTCCCCACTGAAAAGGAACAATCTGTTCCAAAGTCAGAAGAGGAGGGTGCACAGAAGAAAAAGACGTCCCCCCCCCCCCAAAAAAAAAACTGGAGAAATGAAAACTGATGGCACAGGAATAAATTCAGCATAAAATAAATGTAGATAAAAGAATAAAAGTAACGGAAGTGCATTATCCATCGAAGTGCTAGGGACTGGGCCCAGGACCCTGTGCATACTACAGTTAATACAATACGTGATAACAGTCTTCATCTTGCTTCATTTGTTATTTATTTGACCTTTTTCTCTTACTTTCCTCACGTTGTTAACTCCTTTTCACTTTTCTTCTTTGTTAGATTTAAGACATACTGGGCTGGGTACAGTGCTGTGTTTTAGGGTGACACTCATCATGTATGAGATCTGGGCTTGGTCCCCAGCACCGGGAGGAGAAAGGCACACTGTCTCCGTTTCTTCTTAAATTCCTTTCTCTATTCAGATGAATGGAAGGTAATTATTTCCCCCCTCAGCTCTCTGATGCACACTGAGGAACTTCCCATGATGCTTTGTCTGCCCTGGGCCTTGGACAGCGTGGGTAGGCGGCCCCGTGCTCACACTCTTTGGCAGCTCTCCAGTGTGCAGCTGTTTTACTTTATATTCTTGGCCAATCCCAGAAATAATGAGCTTTACTACATGCATGTGACTTCTTGGGAAGGTAGAAATACCTGATGGACACAGAGATAAGACACAAAAGAACGGAAGACCTCCTGCCCAGGGGAGCTACTGATATAGGCAGAATCAAGACTTTCCTAGAAAACAAACAACCCCTCAAAAATAAAACAAAAAACCCAACAAACAAATAAGAAAAAAAATCAGAACGGTGCAGTATTCTACATTAGAAGCACAGCTGCAAGAAAACTGACTTGGGAATTTTGTTGTTTTGTTTTTTTGAGACAGGGTTTCTCTGTGTAGCTGTGGTTGTCTTGGAACTTGCTCTGTAGACCAGGCTGGTCTTAAACTCAGAGATTTGCCTGCCTCTGCCTTCTGAATACTGGGATCAAAGGCGTGCACCACCACTGCCCAGCAACTTTGAAAAAGTTTAAGCAGATATTATTGTTCATTTCTTTTAATTAGCAATAAAGAAAATGTTCAGTCTGGGTGGTGGTGCACTCCTTGAATCCTAGCACTCAGGAGGCAGAGGCTCTCTGTGAGTTTGAGACCAGCCTGGTCTACCTAATGAGTTCCTGGTCAGCCAAGGTTACAGAGGGAAACCCTGTCTTGAAAACAACAACAACAACAACAACAACAACAAAAAAGCAAAACAACAACATAAAAGAAAATATCCTGCTAAAAGGCACAATAGGAGGAAGGTGCTCTAAAAAGGATAATAACTAAATGAGACTGTTAAGTTGCCCAGCCCCAGTGACCCAGGGTAATCCTTCTTGTTTTGAATTAATATTGAGAGATGTTTTATAGTGATTTACATGTCAGAAGCTGATCAAAAGCGTTTCACTTATATTCACTGAGTTGCACTTCTTTTTTTAAAGGATATCTTTATTTTTATTTATGTGTATGGGTGTTTTACCTGACTATGTATCTGTGCACCACGTGTGCCTGATGTTCACAGAGGCCAGAAGAGGGCATCAGATCCCCTGGATCTTTAGTTACATGTGATTGTGAGCCCTTACATAGATGCTGGGAACTGAACCTGGGACCTCTGGAAGAGCAGCAAGTGCTCCTAACCGCGGAGCCAGCTCTCCAGGCTGTCAAGTTGCATCTTGTAATGACTCTGTGGGTAGGTATTGAGCTTTGCTCCCTTCCACACTGCTTTATTTCACTCAAGGAACTAGGCCCTGCGGTATAGCTCGAGCCATGGGGCTGCTAGTGCACTCTAGACAGCTGGCTTGACAGTCCTCATTTCCTAGCTCCACGGTGCATTTCCTTCCCACCAGGTGAACGCTTCGCCCCATGGAGACACGTACTAGCTTAGCTCAGCGTGTGTCTCTGGTGCCCACACTCACCTCTAAGTCTGAAGAACTGAATTTGTAAGGGGCATTCCAGCCTAGTGTTCCATACACTCTCCTCTCGTTGATCACAGCATTGAAAAAACAGAGGCTGAATAGAATCTTTTTCCACCATGGTCCACAGTCATTTTTGTCAAATATCTCTTCTGTTACTTCTCCGCTCCCGCCATATCCAAACATTTGAAGTAAATTGCTTTTCAATCCCTGGGGAGGCTCCACAGCAATCTTTAAAAAGGAGTGAAAATGCCAAGTGACTATAGATGGGAACACACCCTGGAGGGCCCCTTCCCACAGCACCAGTGGCACACATGGCTGACAGCTATTTCCAAGAGCTGCGGTCAAGTCCAAGCCTAGGCTATGCTTTTGCCTCTTGAACACCTCTGTAAAAGGATCATTTCAGATTCTGTATCACATTCTATTCCTATATTATTTTTGAGGCATGGTTTGAGTCTGCATCCATGGCTGGTACAGATCTTACTACATAGATGAGGCTGGCCTTGAACTCACAGAGGTCTGTCTAATTCACATTTGAAAGACAAACCACAGCACCCGGATGATACTTGTTGCTGTGACCCCAAGCATTGTGTTAGGGAAGGACAGAACTTTGGAGTTTGTCAGTTAGCTAAATCAGCGGTCGCTAAGCTGTGGTTAGGGAAAGGAGCTGCCAAACCCCAGCCAGGCAGCACACACAGGGAGCCAAGCCTCAGGAAACAGGACACCAGCTAAGCCAACAGACACAGCCAGTCACACTGAAAGAGTGAGTGGTGACTTTGCGTGACCAGGTTCTGATTGCCTTGAGAATCCAAGCTGCTGTCTGCTCCGCTGGAGTGGCTGGGATGATTAATTGCAACGGTTTTAATATGTGTGTGTGGCTGCTAGTCAGAGATAACCAGGATCTTATAATGGGTACCTGCTTCCAGAGTTTATATATAAGCATTGGCAAATGAAGCAGCTTATGTGATTCTTACGATACACAGCACATAAATACTGTGTGGCTATGCAGATGCATTATATGGATGAGCATATGTGTGTGCATGAACCCGAGATTTCTAGATTCAAAATCACAATGGGGCAATGTAGTGGGAGTTGTATGTGCCTGTGCACGATGGGGCTCCAGGACGTTACTAGAGCATACAGATGGCTGCCATGGTAGCCCCTCTTCCCCTCCTGAGTTACAGAAATAGGGATACTTTTCCTTAGAGATCTAAGTGCATAATTTTGGGAAGGAGGGTTTCTGACCATTGTTTTGTTTTGAGACAGGCCTGGAACTCCCAATGGAGATATAAACCAGACTGGCTTCAATTTATAGAGACCCATCTCCTGCTTTGTCTCCCTGCCGTTAGGGTTAAAGGCATGCACCACTATGCCAAGCTTAATTGATAGACTCTTAAAGTGGAACTAGAGCAATGGGCCTGATCAAAACAAAGGTTTTTGAAATTCTATGTCCCTCTTTCTTACTACTGCCTCCCAATTTTTCCTCCTGGCCAAAGGAAAAAGGCCACTTGAGGTCACAGTCAGCTGGGTCTTGGGAAGTAAACAGGGCATCTTAAGTTACAGCAGGAAGTCTCATATTTCTCTGTCTGCTCCAGGGCAGGGCTGTTGGGAAGTGGCCCTGGGAGAAGGGAAACACTAGGGAGCAGTATTGCAGGGAGGTGTGGCTAGTTTTTTGCTAAGTGGGTTTTGCCCATGTCTTCATTGGTTTCTCATTGTGCAAAGTCTTTAGGCAGCTGGGCCTTTGACAGGATTGACTGAGCCTTCATAGTTGGGTTTCAGAGGTCAGACATAACCCACAATTAAGGTTATTTTAGCAAATAGTTTGTTTGCCTTCTGGAGAACTTTCCAGAGAGTTAACCAGCCATAAAATGGTTAAGAGGAATAGAAATAAGAAAATGCCACATAGTCAAGAAGCTGAAGTTGGGGGTCATTTGAGCTCAGGAGTTCAAGGCCAGCCTGGGCAACATAGCAAGATGGTGTCTTGAGGGGAAAAAGTAGAAGGTGGGAAAGAAAAATGTATGTGTCTTGGTTTACAGCAACTGGAAGAAGAACGTCCTCTTTGAGACGCAAGTGTTATTGAATGCAGGTCTACATACTATGGTAGCACCCTCCCCACCTCGCCAAAGCTGACCTGAGTGCACCGTGAGTGCTCTTCTTGATTTAGAATAATGAGTGACAAGGCTCTGCAGCCAAGCAGGGCTTGCCAGTCAACACTGAAGCCCTGCCTGTTTGTTCTTACCTTCACGCCCTTCTGAAGAATAGGAATTGGGAAAGAACCATATGATTTTGAGCTCAACCAAAGCCTAAAGTCAGGGTCTAACGTCATATCTGGATTACTAAATCTGCAAAATAAAAATGTAAATATTAAAGATGCGTGCACCGTCTTCTTAGAGTCAGAACATTTTTTTTTAAAGATTTATTTATTATGCACACAGAGTTCAGCCTCCATGCCTGCAGGCCAGGAGAGGACACCAGATCTCATTACAGATGGTTGTGAGCCACCATGTGGTTGCTGGGAATTGAACTCAGGACCTTTGGAAGAGCAGTCAGTGCTCTTAACCTCTGAGCCATCTCTCCAGTCCCAAGTCAGAACATTTTAACGTTGCTGTGACCTTACACATCATCTCAGTCAGAGCTGCCACTCGCCACGAGGGCTTTGATAGTGCACACAGAACTGTATAAGATTCATCCATTTCTGATTCCCTTAAGTAAAAAAAGTCATAAATACTCATTACAGAAACTTGAGAAAACTTATAAAACACAACCCATGTGAAAGCCAGGGGTGGCAGTACATGCTTCCACTTGGGAGGGAATCAGGGGTTACAAGTTCAAGATCAGCCTTGTTTATATAGCTATGTCAAAAAGCCAGGGTGGGGTGGGGTGGGGTGAATTCCAGGTTAGACCTGGGACAACTGAACAGCAAAGTAAGTAACAGTAGGACCTGGCTCAGTCAAATGAGTACAGGGGACAACAGCCACATTGATAGATTCATAGATGTAAATGAACCAGTGGACCGGAGAGGAGAGATCCTTTTTGTCATGGTGGCCTGCTATTACATGACTCTTTCTGTGTGAGGTGCTGGGGACAGAAACAGAGAGTAAAAGGGAGCAGTTAAAAATATTTGGCAAATTGGGTAGTAATAATTCAGTCACATATTATCATGGGAAACTATTGGGGACTGTTTAATATACAGAAAAGTTCTGAAAGTTTCAATGAGCGGCAGATACTGTAATTACATGATCAAATTCAGCATCACCAGGAACATGGAGTGACATTGTATACCTGCTGACAAGCTACCCTGCAAAGGTCTAGCAATTCACCATCTTCATGTCTGCACATGAGGACGCAGCAGGCAAGCTCAAGTGGAGAACTCTTGAGTACACCCAGCTTTTGACATTATAGCGTGACGCTGTTGTCGATGAAGGTCATGCTCAGGATTGAGCTACCAAAAGCATTGCCCAAACAACCAAGCCACCAAACAAACAAAACCCGAAAGCCCATCCGTAATATTGTAAGTTTGCTATCTTGTGACAGAAGCGTTCATCACAGCCCCGCGTGCACACAGCCTGTAGAGTGCAGAGTGGATACCACTGCAGGACAGTCACGACATAGGTGTCTCTGAGCCATCGGAGATGGAAAGAGAGAGACAGACTGAGGAGCTCCGCCCTTCTAAGGGAGACGAAAAAGACAGACATGCAACAGAAACCACTGTATTGGGACCTATACGGTGAGAAAGTAGCTCTGCTGATGAGATGGCCAAAGCACAGCGAGGCACTGAGGGTCAAGTGACATTGTGTCTGTAGTTAACTTCCAAACAACTCAGAAAAAAAGTCCATGTACATTAGGAACAGTGGTAGGCTAACCATAAGAATGAGAACTAGGAAAAAAGGTGAAGAGAGATCGTATTGTCCATGTAATGCAAATCTAAAATCACTTCTAAAATGTTTAAATAATATGGTTAATAAAGTCTCTGCCATTGAGCCTGACAACTTGCGTATCATCCCCAGGACCCACGTGCTGGAAGCAGAAAAGTGGCTTTGAAAGCGGTCTTCTGGCTGCCATGTGTGCTGCAGCGTGCACATGCATACACAGGAGCTCAAATACATACGACACATGCGACATGTGCTCACATACACAACACATACACTCTCACGCACACATAATACAATTTTATAGAATAAGCCAAAAAAAAGCAAAACAACCATTGAAATACAAAATGAAACAGAAAATGAAAATAACCCAATTAACCTATAATTCCACTAAATGCTTTCTTTTTCTTTTGATTCTCCTTTTATTTTTAAATAAAAATATCATACTGTACACATTATTTCTAGCTTGGTATTTTCCTCCTTAGTAACGTACTATGCATATATTTAGCACCTAGATTGAGGAATTTTTCTCTTTTTAATTTTATTTTATTAACTTTTTTTCCCATTTTATATACTGACCACATTTCTCCTCCCTTCTCTTGGGGCCTCCCATAGGCACTTCAAGTAGAGTCAGGACCCAGCTCTTCCCTCTGCAGAAAGGCTGGCGAGGTACTCCAGCATGGGGAACAGTTTCCCAAAAGCCAGCTAAACGCTAGAAGTCTTACAAACAGACCAAGCTACACAACTGTCACACACATGCCTAGATTGGTCCCAGGCAGGCTCCCTAACTGTTGGTTCAGAGTCCGTATTTTGCCATGAGCTCAGGTCAACTGTTTCTGTGGGTTCCTCCATCATGACCTTGACACCCGTGGCTTGTACAATCCCTCTTCTCTTTCTTCAGGATTCCCAAGAGCTTAGCCCTGTGCTTGGCTGTGGATCTCTGCATCTGCTTCCATCAGTTACTGGGTAAAGGCTCTCTGATGGCAATTAGGGTAGTTACCAATCTGATGACAGTAGATGACCAGTTCATGTACCCTCTCCACTGTTGCTAGGAGTCTTAGCTGGGGTCATCCTGTGGATTCCTAGGAGTTTCCCTGGCACCGGGTTTCTCCCTAACCCTGAAATGTCCCCTTCTACCCCCATCAAGATATCTCTTGTTGCTTTCCCTCTCAGTCCTGCTCCCGACCTGCCAATGTCCCCAGTTCTCCCAACCCACTCCCTCCAGTTCCCGTCCCCCTTCCCAAGTTTACGTGGAGATCTCTTCTGTTTCCCTTCCCAGAAATCTTTCATTTTTAAATAGCCACTTAAAAATGTTATTTTTGAGAATTTTTTACTATATATTTTGACTACATCTTTTCCTTTCTTCTAACTCCTCTTGGATCCTCCTCACCTCCCTATCCACCCAGCTTCATGTTTTCTCTATCTCTCAAAAAAGAAAAAACCCAACAAAACAAAGAGCAAAGCACAACATGGTGCCGATCTCTGTTGAGCTGCTGCTCCTGAGAGTACTCTCTGCTAGTGGAGCACCCTCAGCCTCTATCTGGGTGCGCTATGTCTCCAGTGCCTAGGCTGGCAGTGGCAAAGAGCAGATGCCCTGCGAGTGTCTTCAATGATGTAAGATGTGCACAAAGACTGCATCTATGTTTTTCTAAGACAGGGTTTCTCCGTAGCTTTGGAGCCTGTCCTGGAACTAGCTTTTGAAGACGAGGCTGGCCTTGAACTCACAGAGATCCATCTTGCCTTTGCCCCCAAGTGCTGAGATTAAAGGCATGTGCCACCACTACCCAGCCCAAAGTCTGCATCTATTAATGTCATTAATACTGATTAATCTTTGCCCTCTGATCTTGGGCGATTTCACCAAATGTGCTTTTTTTCCCCCAACAGTTTTTAAACTGCCAGGAGAGTAACAGTCTGAGAGCAGAGCCAACTGTAGGAGAGACTTTAGAAACCTAAGCTGGGCATCAGTTTCACAGACATCTCCTTCAGAAAGCACAAGAATGACAAGATTGGACCTTCATGTCCTTGCTCCACATTTTTTGCCATAGAAACTAGGAAGACAGTAAACCACGACAGGAGGAAAATCCTGCGGAACATAACTGGCTTAATTAAAACATTTCTAATTTCACCTATTGCTGGCTTTTCCTTCCCTTGTCGTTACAGCAATCGAGTTACAGAATGCAGCAAACAAGACGACCGAGTGTGTGGACACCAAGCGAGTCAGCGCAGAGGGGAAGGTTGGAGCCAGAGTGGAAAACACGGTTGTGGGAGGACTTGAGGCCCTGGGCTTTGCCGTGCTGGAGTCATGTGAAATGCTAAGAACCATGTCATAGATTATACATGAGCAAGTGCTAAATAAGACGGAGAACACGATCTACACAGGGGATTAAAAGGAGAGAAAGAGAAGCCAGTGTGCTCTCAGGACAGCGTTCAGGGCGGCTGCGCGGTCTCTAGCTTTGCCGCGCACAGAAGGCATTGCTCTTTGCCGTGACTTCGCATAGTGGGTAATTCACTTGCTCCCAGACAGAGGTGACACTTACGACTCTATGATAGCGCAGAGCCTTGGCATGAAGGATGCTGCGAGGTGGCAGTTCTGGAGGAAGACCCACTGATTCTTTCTGCCCACGGCCTTAAAGATGAGCTCCTCCGCCTTGGCTGCCTGGCCTCGGCCCAGGGAAATCATCGTCACCTGTGGTGTTGTTCCTTTTAACTCTTGTGCGAATCTCAGGAGGATGTTGTTGAGGTCAATCCCTGCACGACAACATGGAGAGGTGCCCAAACCTGTAAGCTCACTTAGTTCCCTCAGCAAAAGCAGTCCTGCACTTCCTGAGGGGGTGGTGGGAGACGACAGAGCCGCAGAATGACTCGGGTTAGGGAACGAAAGCCTACAGTTCAAAGTTTGTCTCTGCCACTCGCTGGCCTGTGATACAAGTTTCCCCACATTTGGGAATGGTAACTGCCCATGAGTTAGACACAATTGGCCTCTTGTCACACCTGTCCCCGCACGTCCCTTTGCCCTCTAGTGGGCGATGAAGCTGCTAACCCAGTTACAACATCATGTTTAAAAAACATGACACTAGATATGGTCTCGGAGACTTTGTCGACAGGTTTTGGCAGCAAAAGTGTGTTAGGAAAAGTGTGTTGCCAAACCCTAGCTATCTCCTAAAGAGAGAGAGGTATGTCTTCTTCCCTCTGGTCTGCTGTTGACCTGAGGGCTGGCCAGCAGCCTGCTGCCATGCTGGGGGAAGTTTCCAGTAAGCAGACAGCATCTTTACAGGTGTCGGGCACAGAGCCTGGCACACTGCCCCGGTGAGAAGACCTTCTGTGTGTGGGGGGGTGCCTGTGGAGCCCAAGTGGGGGGATGGTGAATTCTAAAGACACACTTGACTCGGGGAGTGTGGAGACCTGAGGAAAACTGAGGCGCTATCCTGAGGACCTGCAGAGCAAAGGAAGCGGCCGAGGGGTGGTGCGCAGGTTAGGGGGACACAGCTCACTTCTGACAGTCACCTCGTGCTCCTTTAAAAACAGCCACTAGAGAGCCGGCTTATTCTGAGCCAAATACGAGTGATCATGGTTTGGGAACTGATCGATGTGACCCTGCCACACCTAGTCCATCGCAGAATGGTACATGACCTTTGAAAGATCACTGTTAATGGAAATAGTTAATAAATGTAAGTGGGGAGCCCAATTTGTTTTCTTTTAATGTTCTTGAAGATACTTTCTGCAAGAAAACTAACTCTAATACATTTTTATCTTGATTCCTTTATATTTTTAGAAAGATTCATCTTTCATGTAGTTTAAAGTTGAAATCCCTTTTCAAAGATGATAAAGGAATGAAGCTTTTAAACAGAACATCTGGACACAGAATCTGTTTCTCCACTTCCTTTTTGGGGTGGAGGAGGTGGCGTTTTTCCAGGTAGGGTCATGCAGCACAGGCTAGCATAAAACAACTCAAAGCCGAGGATGGCCTGGCATTTATGGTCCTCTTGTCCCCACTTAGCGTTGGGATTATAGTGTGGGCCACCACCCCCAGTTTACATGTTGCTAGGAACTGCACCATGGCTCCGCTGTCCAGATAGCTCACCATAGGTGTGAATGAGGATCAGCGGTGTTTGAGCAGTGGACTCTTTGTACGATTCTTTCAGATGAACTGTAGTCTCATGGATATATTCACTTCCCATTTTTTCAGTTACAAACTTTCTTACTGAATTCTCTAAACGATCTGGCCGAAGAACTTTAATCTGAAAAATCAAACAGAAGACAAGGTAGATTTAAAATCTACTCAGAGGACTATTCCCAATGGTAAAAATGAAATAAAAATCACTGTTCTGGCTCTAGCCAGAGTTTCCTGGTATGTTGTTGGAGAGGTTTAACAAGTGGGGGTATCTCCATTGGTTGGTGTGGAGGTTTGAAAGAAAATGGCCCCCCAAAGGGAATGGCCTTGCTGAAGTAAGTGTGGAGGAAGTACATCACTCTAGGGGTGGGCTTTGAGGTCTCCTAGGCTCAAGATACTACCCAGCGTCTCAGACTAATTCCTGTTGCCCGCCAATCAAGATGTAGGACTCTCAACTCCAGCACCATATCTGCCTGCATGCCATCATGTCCCACCATGACGATTATAGACTAGACCTCTAAACTGCAAGCAAGCCCCAATAAAGGAGTTCCTTTATAATAACTGCTGTGGTAATGGTGTCTCTTCAGAGCAAAAGGAACCCTGACTAAGACAGTTACAGTTCCCCCTTCCCAGCTACCAAAGCTCTTCCACACTCCATGAGAGAGCTTGGTTGTGCTCTTGACCCTGCAAAAGAACACTTTCCTTGGGTTCCTCCTGCTCTGCTATCCATGTCTAGACCAAGAAGAATCCATATAGCTTGGAGTTGGAAGATGCAAGATACCCAATGGCACAGTTTGTAAGTTCAAGTGGGACAAAATACAGGTCTGGGGAGTGCTGTGGACATGTGAACCAATTGGACACGCATACAGTACATGTATAATGGACACAGAACTTCCCTGTGAAGACTGCTTTATAGACAAACTGCTTACATGGTACATTTTTCATAATGACCATGAAATAGGTCCTGAGAAAGCTCAGCATCTTTTTGTGGAAGGCAACTCTGAAACTGTCTGAGAACGCTGTAGGCATCAACACATTCCTCTTTCTGTGTACCGACCATGGTCTAGACAGCCTTACTCCAGAGAACGCTGGTTAACACACCCCCCCTCCCCAAACTGAGTACAAATAAGCCTTAGAGGTTGATCATTTTAAGCATTTTGCTACCTTAACACATTTGATTAATATACACTGAATCCCATCCGGAATCTCCCAAACCCCAAACCAGATTCTAAAGCAACTGAGAAACAGGAGCTGTGTAAAATTCTGCCTTTGTAAATGTCACTTTGGTGGATGTGAGTTAGCTATGAGTCAACCATATGCCTTCTGGACACTGAACCAAGAATCAGACACGTTACCTATCATAGTGAGATCAGGCAGCTGTTGCTTTCTCCCTAAAGGACTGGGTCTATTCTTGTAATTTTAGCATGGAGGTAAGAGAAAATAAGCTTGTAGTCAGGGAAGATCTCAAAAGAGCAGGAAGACAATGGTGGCCCCAGGCAACTCAGGTCATCCCTCAAGGCTTCATCTTGTCTATAGAGGAAGGATGAGGGGCAGCGCCACCATGTGACAGAACATTAGGGTGGAGTGCAGGTCCCTCCCTCTACACTGAGGTCCAGGATGTCATAACTTGTAGAAGTCAGCACATTTCACTTATAAAATTTGAATTTTGAGGAGTTCAAACTATCAATAAACTTACTTAAAATATTAGGAATCACAATATTTTGTTTTAACGCATCTTACCAAAATAAGCCTTTGAAACGGAGTGAGTTTTTCCCAAGGAAAACTTATAGGGTTAAACATTTCATCATTTTCATTCAGAAGTGCAGCTAGATACCATCAAGAGAAAGAGACTGGAATTAATAACCAGGCAGCTGTGCCACTAAAATATGTTACAACATGAACTTAAGTTAGGGCATTATGAAAAGAAACATGGTTGGCTAAATAAGTAGGTGTTATTCTTAGGACTTGGGCCCTCACCATCATTCATCGTGAAGCAGCATAGGCACAGATGATGTGGTGAGTAGGGAGGGATGAGGCTAGGGATGAAGGGGTGGAGCTGCAAGAGCTGAAGGAAACGAGAGGCAGGGACACAGGCAGGCCCTCAGCACCTGCTCCCTCAAGTGCGTTTCACTGGATACACGAGAGATTTCTGCTCAGCACCCAAAACAGATGGGAAGTGGAACCCACCGAAGCTCAGATAGGATTGCCATGATTTTGAGAACTTACACAGTTATTTATTTTTTTTCATACTGACTCCTCTCTGCATGGTGACCGTCTTGCTTGCGAAGTGAGATGCTCTCCAGGCCTTCCTTCCAGCCATAGCTGCTGCTGTTCCTAAGAACATTGCCTCCCTGGCATTTCCCCAACGTCTAACTTTGCATACAACTTGGGTTATAAAAAAATTGTTTTTTAAATATGTAAAAATTCTGATTTGAAAAGAACCCATGGTATGTGTAAGTTCAATCTCAAGTGATAAATTTGAAGTGGTTTGCAAAGTAAAAGATCCTCACCTTACAAGAAGGGTTAGCTGAGAGTTCCTTTACAGCAAAATTATTGATTTTTGTCTTACATTAAAATATCATATGGATTACAAACAGATTAGTGATAAATGCAAAAAAATAACAGTGATCCATGAATAAAACTGTATAGGTGAAGGAGCAGCTTCTTTAGAAGTAGAAAAGCAAAGAGGTAGAAAGAGAGACATAACTGATGGCATAAACATCTTACTACCTGTATAGTACATATTCTATCAGCCACTAATGATGAACAGATTTAGAAAAAATATACAAAAAATGAAGTATCTACACTAATAGTATTCTTATAAACAACCAACAAGGAGATAAGTATATATATGAATAGACAAATCATATCTTCACTAACCCTTTAAAAAGTACGTGTTAATATGGCAATTGAAATGGAAGTATTTTGAACTTTTCAGGTTGATACAAATCAAAGATCAAGTCTTCTACTAGGAAATGGGCAGGTGAACTGGAGAGATGGCTCAATAATTAAGAGCACACACTCTTCCAGAAAGCCCCAGTACATCAGGTGACTCACAAGCACCTATTAGTTTGAGCCTCAGGGACATACACTCTCTCTGGCCTCTGGGGCAAGTGCACTCACATGCACAAGGCTTTGCACGCTGACACTTAAAGATAACTAAAAAAATTAAAACGACAGGGACATGCCACATGGAAATTGTTTCCTCTGACCAACATTTCCACTTCTGGAATTCTCTTTCTGACAGAGGGGAAGTATGGGTAAGAATATTGATGTTACTGGACTACCTTATGGTACATTATGACAAAACTCTGCAGGCAAAAATGTAGAAATATGAGGCAGGAAACAAGCTAGGCTGTGTCCCAAGTGGGGGTATCATAGTAAAAAGGGCAGAAAAGTGGGGAGCAGAGTTCAAAGCAGAAAAGAGAAAAGAAGCGAATATGACAAAATGGCAGACCTTAAAAGTTCTGTTTGTGCCGCGCAGTGGTGGCACACATCTTTAATTCCAGCACTTGGGAGGCAGAGGAAGGCAGATCTCTGAGTTCAAAGCCAGCCTGGCTTACAGACTGAGTTCAGGACAGCCAGGGCTACCCAGTGAAACACTGTCTTGAAAAAACAAAAACCCAACAAATTAGAAAGGTCCTGTGTAGTTCTTCCCTGGGGTTACTGTTTTTCATGGGGATCCTTTTCTTTCTGTTTGTGGACCTGGGGATTGGACCCAGGGCTTTGCCATGTTGAGCAAGTGCTCTCCCACCGGGCAGTATGTCCAGCTCCTGTGTAATGTTTAGAACATGTCTGTTATATAAAATGAGGAACCTGTGCAGACTCCTGTGGTGATATTTTGTTTATAATCTAACAAATTAAGCTTGCCTGAAGATCAGAGTATAGAACTAAGCTAAGCCACTAGTTAGCCATAGAGACCAGGCAGTGGTGGGGCATACCTTTAATCCCAGAATTTGGGAGATGTGCGTTCAAGACAACCCTGGGTTACATAAGACTGAATCTGTCTAAAAGATAAACAAAGCTCACACAAAGGTGATCCCATGCCTTTAATCCCAGCACTAGGGAGGTGCAGACAGGAGTGATATGGCTGGGCAGAGAGAGGAATATAAGGTGGGAGGAGACAGGAGCTCAGATATTGTCTACATTCTGAGAATTCATAGAGACAGGATCAACCTTTCAGTCTGAGCATTAGTAGAGATAGAGGTCTTTCTAGTGGCTGGCTGCTTTGCTTCTCTGATCTCTCAGCTTTCACCCCTAATATCTGACTCTGGGTTTTTATTATTAAGACCAACTAGAATTTGTGCTACAAGCTCCCTCAGAAATAAGGTTCAGAACCAGTGTGCTATAATGATATGCTGATATATTTTATGTTTCCAAAGTTCAGAACTCACACTGGTTTCTCACCTAGAACAGTGACATCATGAAAACCACTTCTTTGCACTGACTCAAACATCCCACATGGATCTTATCAATGCTCATCCTTTCCATTTGTTGTGACCTACCTTTTTTTCCCCCCTTTTTTTTCTTTTTTTGAGATAAGGTTTCTCTGTGTAGCCCTGGCTGTCCTATGGACTAGAGTAGCCTTGAATTCAAGAGATCTGACTGCCGTTGCCTTCACATGCTAGACATGCCTCCCATGACTTACCTTACACACTGAACATTTACACATACAAACGCACATTTGTTAGGGAAAGGTTCAAGCGCTCAGGTCCTACCCTCCTCTGGTGATCTGTGACTTTCCTGAGGTGAAACCTCTTCTAGGGAGAAGGGTGTGCACATTAGAGAGTACACGGCCTTCGTGTCCCTGAAGGCATTCCACTGCCACTTATTCGACAGGAGAGATCCGCAGAGAAGGGAGAAGGGCTCCATCTGGCTGCTGATGTACTGACACTGCTTCCATCTCAGGTCCGACACCCACTGAAGATGCTCCTTTCTACGTATTTCAAATATACCTAGTAGAGAAAAGAAAATGGTCTCAGGAGAGAGAAATCCTTCACCTTCAAGCGACTCATTACAGAACAGAGAATTGGCAAGTATTTGTTGTTGAGCAAGGTGCCATTTCATATAAAATCAGCTGGAAGGGCTGGAGACTCAATAGGATGCTTGTCTAGCGTACACGAGGCCACGAGTTCTGTTCCCAGCACCACAATAAATAGACACATTAACTAGGTAAGTTTGGTTATGTTGTTTCTTCCTTAACCAAACTGATCATTTATACTGTTTTCAGCAAGCAGCGGAGACCAGACCGGCACGTGCAGGCCCAAGCAGCGCGCAGATGAAGCGGATGCGGGATAGTCTAAGCATGAAACAGTGAAGCCCACACTGAGAGCAGATCGCCCCACTACAATTAAATCAAGTAGGTTTTTTTTGGGCCTGCAGAGTGGTAGGCCTTTTATTGGCGAGGTCCACAGGCAAACGGGGAGCCTGGTCCTGTCCCTGAAGATCCTCCTGAGTAGGGAGAGTGTTCTTGGCCCAGGGTGGGACACAGGAAATGGAGCAGGGGCATTCCCCAACCCCCTTGAACCCCCCCCCCCCCCCCCCCCCCGTCTGCGAGGGCTAGTACCCTCTGCTGGGGCTGCTCCTCCTCTGCTGCAACCTCTCCCTCCCTGACCCATCCCAGCTTGAGCCCAGGGGCCTCCTTCACTCCCCCCCTCCCTTCTGCGGGGCCGCGGGATCACCCAGTTTAGTCTGGGCACTGGGTCGGGAGCTCGGGCCAGAGGGCAGCGGGAGTTTGTCTGTTTTGGTGGCTGTCCTGCAGAGTGGTAGGCCTTTTGTTTTGTTGGCGAGGTCCCTGGCGAACGGGGAGCCTGGTCCTGGTCCTGAAGACCCTTCTGAGTGGTGAGAGGGATCCTGGCCCACAGCGGGAGCCAGGAAACGGAGCGAGGGCATTTTGTAAGCAGGGCCCCTGGCCAGCAGGGAAACCTGATCCTGTTTTAAAAGACCCATTAAATAGCATTGATAGGTGAAGGCGTAAGTCACAAACAATGCCACACCAATTCGGGGTTATGATTATTAGGGTGGTATTTATTTAAAGGGGAAAAAACTTACAGATCACTGTCCCAGGCAACAGCCCTCTATGCAACCAGGAAAGGAGTCTAGTCGCAGGCAGAGCAGGAAGTGAAGAGAGCGAGGAGAGGGAAGTGGCCGCTTTTTTAAAGGGAGAGAAACCACGCCCCAGTGGGCTGGTACCTCAGCGGTGATAGGCTGGAGGAGTGGGAGGACCTCCCGCAACAGATAGGAGGAGATGGGCAGGTGCCAAGGCAAGAATTCACCCAACAATCTGAAAAACAACATGAAAACACCAGAACCCAATGATCTTACAACAGAATGACATGAACACCCTAACACAGAAGAAGAGGAAAAAATTGACTTTATGAAAGCAATAGAGTCCCTTAAACAACATGTAAAAAAACGCCCTAATATAAATGGATGAGAAGTATAAAAAAAGTTTGAAGAAATGAGTAAATACATAAATGATACCCTGGGAAACCAAGAAAAAAACGATCAGACAGGTAATGGAAACAGTTCAAGAATTGAAAACTGAAATGGAAGCAAGGAAGAAAACACAAACTGAGGACCAGCTGGATATGGAAAATCTAGGTAAACGAGCAGAGACTACAGAAACAAGCATAATAAATAGAATACAAGAGATAGAAGAAAGAATCTCAGATTCTGAAGACACCATAGAGAAAATAAATGCACCGATCAAAGAAAACAGCAAAGCCAACAAATTCTTATCACAAAATATTCAGGAAATATGGGACACAATAAAAAGACCAAACCTAAGAATAGGGATAGAAGAAGGAGAAGAGTCACAGCTCAAAGGCCCAGAAAATATTTTTAACAAAATCATGGAAGAAAACTTTCCCAAAATAAAGAAAGATATTACTTTGAATATTCAAGAAGCATACAGAACACCAAATAGACTGGATCAAAAAAAAATCCCCTCGCCATATAATAATCAAAACACAAAATATACAGGTTAAAGAAAGACTATTAAGAGCTGCAAAGGAAAAAGGGCAAGTAATTTATAGAGGTAAACCAATCAGACTTACACCTGACTTCTCTATGGAAACCATGAAAGCCAGAAGGTCCTGGATAGAGGTACTTCAGAAGCTAAGAGACCATGGATGCAAACCCAAACTACTATACCCAGCCAAGCAATCATTCACTACCAATGGAGAAAACAAGACGTTCCAGGATAAGAACAAATTTAAACAATACGTAGCCACAAATCCAGCCCTACAGAAAATAATAGAAGGAAAATCACAACCAAGGAATCCAATATTTCCAACACTGCCTACAATAACTCAGGCATCTAGCGACCCTTCACCAGTACAACTCAAAGAAGGGAGACACACAAACTCTACTAGCAAAAACAATAAGGATAACCGGAGTAAACAACCACTGGTCATTAATATCACTTAATATTAATGGTCTCAATTCACCTATAAAAAGGCACAGGCTAAGAGATTGGATACGAAAACAGGATCCAACATAGTGCTGTTTGCAAGAAACACATCAACCACAAAGACAGGCATCTACTTAGAGTAAAGGGTTGGGAAAAGGTTTTTCAAGCAAATAGTTCTAAGAAAAAAGCAGGTGTGGCCATATTAATTTCTAACAAAACTGACTTCAAACTAAAATCAATCAGAAGAGATCGAGATAGACACTTTATACTCATAACAGGAACAATTCATCAGGATGATGTCTCAATCCTGAATATCTACGCCCCTAATATAAAAGCACCCACTTATGTAAAAGAAATATTACTAAAACTCAAGGCAGACATCAAACCACACACACTAGTAGTAGGAGACTTCAACACACCTCTCTCACCAATGGACAGGTCAATCAGACAGAAACCTAATAGAGAAGAGAATTGTTGGAGGTAATGAAGCAAATGGACTTAACAGACATCTATAGAACACTCCACCCAAATAGAAAAGAATATACCTTCTCTGCAGCTCATGGAACCTTCTCGAAAATTGACCACATACTCGGAAAGAAAGGAAACCTCCACAGATACAAAAAAATATCAGTGTCCACCTGTGTCTTATCATCACCACGGATTAAAGTTAGAAGGCAACAACAATGCTACTCCCAGAAAGCCGACAAACTCATGGAAACTGAACAGTCAACTACTGAGCCACACTTGGGTCAAGGAAGAAATTAAGAAAGAAATTAAAGTCTTCCTTGAATTTAATGAAAATAAAGAGACAACATACTAAAACCTATGGGACACTATGAAAGCAGTGCTAAGAGGAAAGTTCATAGCACCTAGTGCCCACCTAAAGAAAACAGAGAAAGCATACATTGGGAACTTAACAGCACACCTGAAAGCTCTAGAAAAAAAAAAGAAGCAGACACGCCCAGGAGGAGTAGAAGACTGGAAATAATCAAAATGAGGGCAGAAATCAACAAAATAGAAACACAGAAAACAGTCCAAAGAATCAATGAAAAAAAAAGATGGTTCTTGGAGAAAATCAACAAGATCGACAAACCCCTATCCAAACTAATTAAACAACAGAGAGAGAACATGCAAATTAATAAGATCAGAAATGAAAAGGGGGACATAACCACAGACACAGAGGAAATTCAGAGAATCATTAGATTTTACTACAAAAGCCTGTATGCCACAAAACTGGAAAATACAAAAGAAATGGACATTTTTTTAGATAAGTACCATATACCAAAGCTAAACCAAGACCAGGTGAACAATCTAAATAGACCTATTAGTTGCGAAGAATTAGAAACTGTTATCAAAAATCTCCCTTCCAAAAAAAGCCCAGGACTAGATGGTTTCAATGCAGAATTCTACCAGAACTTCCAAGAAGAGCTAATACCTATACTCCTTAATGCATTTCACAATATAGAAACAGAAGAGTCATTGCCAAATTCCTTTTATGAAGCTACAGTGATCCTGATACCAAAACCACACAAAGACCCAACCAAGAAAGAGAATTACAGGCCTATCTCACTCATGAACATCGACGCAAAAATTCTCAATAAAATACTGGCAAACCGAATCCAAGAACACATTAGAAAAATTATCTATTTTGGGACAGGTCAATCAAACAGAAACCTAACAGAGAAATTAGAGAATTAATGGAGGTAATGAAGCAAATGGACTTAACAGACATCTATAGATTATTCCACCCGAAGAGGAAAGAATATACCTTCTTCTCTGCAGCTCATGGAACCTTCTCGAAAATTGACCACATACTCGGTAACAAAGCTAACTTACACAGTTACAAAGAAATATTAGTAACCACCTGCGTCTTATCAGATCACCATGGATTAAAGTTAGAATTCAACAACAATGCTACCCCCAGAAAGCCTACAAACTCATGGAAACTGAACAGTCAACTACTGAACCATACCTGGATTAAGGAAGAAATAAAGAAAGAAATTAAAGTCTTCCTTGAATTCAACGAAAATAAAGAAACAACATTCTCGAACTTATGGGACACTATGAAAGCAGTGCTAAGAGGAAAGTTCATCGCACTAAGTGCCCACTTAAAGAAAACAGAGAAAGCACATATTGAAGACTTAACAGCCCACCTGAAAGCTCTAGAAAAAAAAGAAGCAGACTCACCTAGGAGGAGTAGAAGATTGGAAATAATCAAACTGAGGGCTGAAATCAACAAAATAGAAACACAGAAAACAATCCAAAGAATCAATGAAACAAAAAGCTGGTTCCTGGAGAAAATCAACAAGATTGATAAACCCCTATCCAAACTAATCAAACGGCAGAGAGAGAATACGCAAATTAACAAGATCAGAAATGAAAAGGGGGACATAACCACAGACACAGAGGAAATTCAGAGAATCATCAGATCTTATCACAAAAGCCTGTATAACACAAAACTGGAAAATGTAAAAGAAATGGACACTTTTTAAGATAAATACCATATACCAAAGTTACACCAGGACCAGGTGAACAATCTAA